TTTTTTATGTTGAAAAGTGCGAAGAAGTTTTTTATTCAAAAAGCAAAAAGTTGCACTAAGAAAATTTTTTCGGTCATTTTAATACACTACAGGTACAGTAGAGAGCGCCATCTAGCGGCTACAGTAAAACTATGCTCATGGTTCGTTTTGTCGTACCAAAAAACCCTTGTATACCAATTTTCACTATTATACATGAAATATTGTTCGAAATATTTAAAAAAAACTATTTTAGAAAGTAAATTTAAACACACTGTATTTCGGAAGCCACGCATTTTTTGACCCATGTTTTATATAGACTGTATGCATTAATTTTAAAAGTTCTATCGAATCTTAAAGTTATGCAACAATAAACTGAAACACCCACAACTTCGATATTGCTGTACGGGTGTTTTGTTTATTTAGAACCGACGTGTAAAGGCTTTGTTTACCATCGCGATCAGCACGTGGATTGAGTGCTGATGTGCATCGTACGTGCTCACGCTTGCTTTGATCGAGATTCAGGACCGGATTAGGTTTTGGTTTGGTTTAATTTATGTGCGGCGTAAAGTCGCAACTTTGAGGACACCCTGAATTAGCCAATGGTACATTGTGCTATCACAATGTAAGGATTAATCATTCAACCAGCGCTCCCATTGATGCTCCTCAATAGAATCACACGACACCCAGGAAGTTTCTCTTCAAATGCAAACATACGTGCTTTCAGCTGTGGTTTCATGAACTCTTCTCAAAAGAACTATTTAGCGAAATGAGCGGGATGCGCCGGCGGGTTGAAGTTGTGAAGATATCTCGAGCGCAGTGATGTAAATATTTATGGTAAATAATCTTTTATGTGCCATTCAATTGCGGCTGTTTTCCATTTATTAAGAACACTCAACAAAACTCGAACAATCGTATTTGGTTCTGGTGCCTTTTAATCGCTAAGTGAAGTTAAAGATCTAGGTGTCACCTTCGATAGTAAGTTTTGCTTAAATGGTCATATAAGAGTTATGAAAAATTGGGCCATATTATACGCTGCGGTCATCAATTAGAAGCCATTGATAGAATTAGGCTTTTATATGTATAGCTACTTGTCTGTTCAAAACCTCAATCACAGCCTTTCTATAACTTTTGGATAGACGAACTTGAAAATATCCAGCGACGACTGCCTTAGTACCTATATCTGAAGAAAGATGCTAGTTACCCGATTATTGGCTACCCTCAAAAAACTGTAGATGATTCCCTTTATCCAGAAAGTCTGAGAGAAAAGCGTGATAAGTGCTTCGTTAGGTTTGTGCGTGGTATATTGCACAATCGTATTTATTGTTGCAATATATTGCATAAGCTTAGTTTTCTTGCCCCGCGTTTAAATTCTAAACAATGTGATAACTTTTATTTAAATGCCCCCAGATCAAACATCTTAAAGCTTTCTCCACTATTTTACTGTTGTGGTAAGGGTAATAATATTGCTGACCAATTGGATATATGTATTTGAGATCACGTCAACTATCCTTCTGTCTACCTACTGAAGTTTGGACCATGTCGTACTCTGTCAATGGCTGTTGCTGTTGGAAAACCCGATTTTCTGAAAAAAGACACGATAATTATTTTTCCAATTGACAGCGACTTTCAAACTGGAATCGATTGTCTCCATTTTCAAAAACTCAGACTCGGCTGTGTCCTCGGCATGAAAAAGTATATAGCCAACATTCGTCACCTGTGATTGAATTTACAGTATCATGCTCTCAAGATTCAATTCCTTGAGCATCTTTTGCACCTCGACTTTTGCCATTCTCGGATTGTGAGTTAATGCATGGAGCATTCAAAAGGTACAAAGTTTCTTTTCATTTAAATGAGGAAATATTTAACATTTCTCCTGAAGGTCTACACTTCGTACGCCACTGTTAACTCGGCATATTTTTGATTCGGATAGAAGTCGCGCGCACCGACTTTGCCGATACAAAGGAACGTTGCCCTGGCCGTTGCTACTATCTTTCGTTTTGGTATCTGAGCGTATATGATTTGGCTGTCCTCCATTAATGCTTCTCTTACAAGGTCTACATTGTCTTCCTCGTTTGAAATGGTTTCCATCCCGTCGCCTTCAGGCTTATGCTGTGTTCTATGTATGTGACCTATTACACCTCTTCTAAAAACGATATTGGAAATGTACTAACTCATTGTTTGCATCTCTTGCAGTGCTATACACCTAAAAAGCAGTGCGAGAACTCCGTTCTGTGCGCATAACATCAGATAACGCTACACGACATCTTCATACAAACTCGTATTGTCACATCGAATCAGTTCAACGACTATCGAGCACAAAAATTTGCTTCAGGGACCGAGGCGGCCGGCCTGATACGTCCGTCGGATACTGAACGACCGACGGACATTCCCATAGATTCAAATGAAGCCAAAACTCAAGGCGAGATGTGTACAGATAGATGGAGATTAAAGTCTTTCCTTCTTCATTCTGACTGACAGCGGACCTTTTTATTACGTTGTCGACCTTGGAGTGGGCATTGTGACCCGCCGCGCACTCAAATTCGACACAGCTCCACTTTGAAATTTGAAAAATATTTTATTTTATTTCTTATTGAGTTTTTATGCCTGACGCCGCATCTTTATTCATGCACCCACAAAGGAGTGCTGGAAGTAATTCGAATGGCATTCAGTGGCGGAACATACAATGCTTTTTAAAAAGCCAACTTAGCAAGCTGAAATTCGGCACGAATGCTATATTTTCTTGAACTAGTAATACAGTTATTGCCCGTCCAACTGCAAATTGCCAGCCACTCTATTTCGCAACTCCTCAGCATGATCTAGGCTGGGTCTTAGATAGAACAGCGAACGAAGGCGGAGCAGATAGTCTCTATGCAGAGTATAAGATGCGTCAAAATAAGACAGCGAAAAGTAACATCTATTACCAGAATCGACCAATACGAGAGCGAAAACATCAGGCTGCCTGTTAGAGCTATATAGGCGGCATCTGGCGACCACTGGGGTGGCCCGATTGACAATGGAAACTGTGATGTGTAATCGGTCATTTTGTTGTAGGGATTGTTTGGATTTACAACGATATTAATAGTCAGCCTGGCTGAAGCAAAACCACATACATTCCTCTTATTGGAACTATGTACGTTTCGGTCCGAACGGTGGCCTTCTTCAAGTTGAATTGATACTTTTTGAAAATATATTTTATTCATCTGTCTTCCAGGTGACACTTCGTTTGCTTTTTTTCGTTCATTTTCATATTGAAAATCCACGAAAAATCAACGTGAGGGATGATAGGCAGAATAACAGATGACGCTGTCGACAATGACAGCCATGACAGATGACGCTGTCGATAATGACAGTCATGACAGATGACGCTGTCGATGATGACAGTCTTGGTGTGACTACAAAAAACGTTGCAAGTTTTCCTTTGTTGCGCCTTGCCAGACAAAACAAAAAGGAATCAAAAATATTAAACTTAAAAATTTTATCATAAAAAAGAAAAAGTTGAAATATTATCATTTCCATGAATACGAATGATTGAAACTCCCGTTTTACAACAAAAACTGCTAACCAAAATAAAATTTTAAATAAATCTAGATTTAGGAATAATAGGATTTAATCAACAAAATTTGACCCCACATGGTATTTACATTTGAAACATTGAGTTCCGGTAGTGATATCCAGATATAAGGAGGTCCGTAGACATTGTTGTCACATTTACCTTTCTCTACTCATTCATACCCTATGGGACTTTGCGTCCAACTAGGATGACTCATTTTCAAGTTTTTGAAATTTGATGGCTAAATATGTATGTTGACATGCTGTTCACAAATGTCTGGACGTGCTTAAAACCTAGTGGGGAAGGGGTCAATCATCGGCAAGAGATAACTTTTTGTGACAGTGGACCTGCTCCTACAACTTTTTGAAGAGAGGGGGTTAGCAAATTTTCCCGGTGGGCCAAATCGTAAAGAATCCTCACCCCTCCCCCGCGCCCTTCTCTGCGGGCGCTCAAGCCGACAACATTTCTTTTTATATAGAACTCCATTCTATAACGCTAATGATCATAAATTGAGATTACTATCTAATTATTCAATTCATAATACAATATGAGAAGTGTATGTCAGTCTTGTAACTTCATATGAGAGTATTTGACAAGTGATGAGTGCTTTGCTTGCACGTCACTGTCGTGCAACTCATATACACACAAACGGAGTAAATTAGGTACATTATTTCGAACCTGAATCGCACCAACCACAGCATCTGGACGTGAAAAGACGTTTTGTTTTTTCAACGGTCATTAAAATTGTAATTAAAACGAGCTGAAGAGACATGTAGGACTTGTGTCACAGGCAGGACCACTACTGGACAATATGGCTTCAAGAATAGTAAATTTTATTTTTATTTTCAGTGACAGGCACGTTTCCCGCCGACGGTTGTGTGCGAGTCGTTTTGCACAAAATGACTAGGAATGTTTTGACACACAATCATATCAAGTCAGCTAAGAATTAAAATGTTTCAATCAATATTTGATGTTGATAATTCTGATACACTGCTAAACGTCAAAGACTCACTATAGCATGAGAAAGCATTGATACGAACCCAAACAACTAAATATTCGGACACTTAAATTTTGTGCAAATTGTTCTATAAAATAACAGAACAAGATAGTAAACTTGTACCGAACATTTTTATTGATAGTTTATACAAAATGTGACCTATTTTCGATAATAATATTTGTTTTTCTTGACAATTAATTCAAATTAACAAAAAAAACTAAACTTCTCAAAAATATGTGGCAACTAAATATTCGGACACTACAAAATGTACCTTAACTAATAACTTGTTACGTCGCCTTTTGCGTTAATTACCGCCTGAATTCTTGCAGGAATGGGTCTTAACTAATGCTTGACAGTTTTTTTGTGTAAACGAATTCCAAATTTCTTGCAATTTCACACGCAGTTCAGGGATTGCTTTCTGAGGATGGTTTCTCAAATGTTGTTTCATTTTGTGCCAGACCGTTTCTATCACATTTAAATCGGGACTACTGGCGGGCCAAGAGAAAACATGTACGTCATGATCCCCAAACCATTGTGCTTTTGGCAGTGTGGCATGATGCGCCGCCCTGCTGATAAATGAAATCTCCGTCAGGATATAGTCTGCTATGGTAGGCAATAATGTGTTCTCAAGGATTTCTTGGTATTTAGCTACATTTACAGTGCCATCTACAAAATGAAGACGTTCCATTCCAACTGCAGACACACAGCCCCACACTTTGTGTTCCACTGAGCGGTAACTGCCCTTAAAGTGTTTCGTTTACCTGATTTTCAGATTTTGATCAAAGCTCTTCGGTTCCGTTTAGTCACAATCCTCGGTCGACCTGGACTTTTACTGCGCACATCAGTACTGGCGGTTTCGCCATACTTTTTATAATGCCCGAAACTGTAGACTTAGGGATAACAAGATCACTTGATATTTTACGTATTAACTTGCCTTTGCAAAACTGGCCAATAATAATTTGCCTCACTTTCTGGTCAGTGGCTACACCTCGCACCATTTTTGCATGAATATAAATTACCTTCAAGAAAATACAATTAGATACTAAATACAATTTCTAACGACGTTGACATAAATGGTATTTTGATATTGGTATCGCCCTCAATTGTTTTTGCATAGCCTGCTAGTCTCTGCTTATCTTTAATGTTATGCTTCTTGACCTGTCCGAACATTTAGTTGTCACCATATTTCACGATATTTTAGTGATTTTGTTTGTCTTAAAGTACTTGTACAAAATGTTAAGGTGTCCGAATATTTAGTTGTTTGGGCTCGTAATCTCGATTGATTTTGATCAACGTTATCCTGAAGACGTACAGGGTGATTGAACAACAATAGCTATATTTCTAGGACAGAAAGTACATAAGAATTAATGTCGAGCAGCTTGACTCTGCACTTTCCACGATCTGCTGTCAGTTTGTAGAACATTATGTTTGGTATAAATTAGCCTCTTGTTGAAATAAGTTAACCACAACCATTGAATCGAAGTTAGACGAACAGGCCCATACAATTAGTACCCACCCTTCTGACAGGCAATGGCAATACTGCTATGAATAAACCGCCAGCGGCGGCGGCTATCTTGTTACAGGTTTATGTTCTATTTCCAGTGCGATCCAGACGCGTAGTTTAAGTAATAACAAATATACGGGGTAATATGTGTCTGACAGGTGCGTATAATTATAATTATATATATATATATATATTATGATATAATTGCTAAACAGATGATTTTACTGGCATCGTGAAAAATTTTGAAACAGAGAAATTGTTGTTTTGAATGTTATGACAAATCATGCCACTCATTTCCGTCGGTCTGTCTGTTTGTCTATCTGTCCGCAAATCCTTTACTCGCCTAAATTTGGAAGTACTGCTCGGATTCGGATGAAATTTTTACATAAATTTACTACTATCCCAAGGTCGAAGAAGCTTTGTAGTTTTCGGTGTTCGGTTTAATGGGTGTGGACAAAAATGCCAAACCAAAAAATAAAAATCGCGCAAGCTCTGGTCCCCAGACCTTTCAGAGGATCATGAATTTTTAGGGGTAAAAATTGGGGATGGGGTTTGTAAGGGTGGGGAAGGACGTTTCACAATTTTTCATACTAGTATACTACTTATACTTATACACTTCCAAACCCAGTAATTTTATGCATCTATTAAACATATTTTCACACAATATAGATTTCGTCCTACATTTGCCCTTAAAACTTGGACGATAGAGAAATGTTTTAATTGGCGTCCCTGCTTCTGCTCTCGTTCTTCACCTGTCGGCGTATCGGTCTTCATAAGTATACTCGCATGACTGACGCTGTGTCGCGTCTGATGCAGCGTGCAATCAGGCTCTGGGGAGCTGAGACGCTGCCAGATGGATGGTACTACGTGTAGGGCAGGTAAAGAATATCTATGGAATAATTGTATGGACCGGAATTTTTCCTTAGGGTGCCCAACTAAAAAATGCTGTTTCATGATTTTTGCCAACTCATCAGCATGATCAAGGCTTGGGATATAGATAATGTCTAACATGTGCTGACGTAATCCTTTATGAACCGATGACCACATTGTGTGGAAAGTCAATCTAATTGACGCCATTTTCTTATGAAACATTTTTTTAGAATTTCAACCTTAGAAATATATGTAGCTTTACTCTACTTTTTCCGTATTTATTACGCTTAGTGCATTTCTATACATATACATAATGTGGTCATGCGATCACACCAAGTGGTATAATTAAGAGTAAAGAGCGAGCAGCATTGCTAAGCTGCCCGGCTTACGCGATTTAAGTCTCTGATTAATGCCTCCTGCTAGAATAAATTATTTTCGTATAATAATGAATTATTTGAAATTAACCCTACCTATAAAAGTATCTAATGATGTAGAGTATTTAAGTAATGGGTACAGAATACGCTATTAGAGCGTTTCAGCTCAGGAACGACCAGTTCCGTTGGCTGAGGTCTTATAACTTAATGAGAATGCGATTGTGAAACTTGGTGGTGGGGTGAGTTTCTAAGGGAGTCATATTGGATCGAAACACTTGCAAAGAATATTAAATATATTATAATGGAGTGAAAATAATAGGATGTTAGGGCTTAGTTAGGGCTTTTATCAGAACTGTTTTCTTTGCAAATGGACGGATACATAATGTGCTTAGTAGCAACAAGGTCCGAATGTATTTTTTTCTATCCCAAGTGGTCCAGCATAACATGATTTTTGATTTATCAGCATTCAGCAAAAACCTAAATAGATGAATACATTATAATTTTTTGAAGCTCCTCAAGTTTCATATTGTCAGTGCTTCTACAAGGTGTTTTGAAATTTTGCACTTTTCTTTTCAGAAACCACTACGCTCGAGTAAAATAAAAATTAAATAAGTTGAAGAAGAAAAAAAGCATGAAACAGCTATCCATGGTTGGCTGTCGATCGATCATTCGATATATACAGGGTGTCCCAGAAATAACACGCCAGAGTGACATGGGAGGCAGATTGGCTTCAGATCAATCAGATAAATTCAACATCACCTTAGTAAAAGTTTTCTAGTTTTAGAGATATTGCCACTTTTAGTTTATTTCAAAAAATCACTACTTTTGGCTCCTTTTTGCCTGTTATGGCTATTAAGAACTTCTAACTTATGAGTTTTTTTCTAGGCTACCGTTTACATTTTGTTTCAATGTGAAAACTTTGAGTAAAGATTGACTAATTACTGTGAAAAAAATGTACCAGACTAAAACTAGCCTACTTAATGCTCTTTTAAAAATAGTAAAACATTTGTAGGTTCTTTGTACAAAAAATTGAATAATACCAAGTGCTGCCGTCTTTGGTATCCAAATCACTAAGTAATGAAACGACCTAAACATGTCATTGACTATCTGGCTCTCACACTCATTGTTCGGTCGGTAGCATTATGACACCTCGAGGAATAGGGGTGGTACCTGCGCACCGCACGCACGGGGTCAATTTAGTACTGGTCGTTGTGTTAGTGTTATTTAGCTCTTTCGCTGTTTAGGGCGTTTCATTCCTTAGTGATTTAGACATAAAAGACTGCTGCTCTTATGTTTTATTTGTAGTATTTGCCCAAGTATTACGACTTCAATGGACTAAGCTTGGAATTATTCAATTTTTAGTAGAAATAACCTACAAATGTTATACTATTTTTAAAAGAGTATTAGATAGGCTAGTTTTTAAGATCACTGCTGATTCAGTCTGGTACATTTTTTTGGCAGTATTAGTCAAGCTGTGGTAAAGGTTGTTTCACATTGAAACAAAATGTATTAATTTTTTTGTAGTCATGCCGTGATAGTTTTCATGAAATGAATACTCAGTTTGTGTCAACCAACTATTAATGGTAGCCCAGGAAAAAAACTTATAAGGTGAAAGCTCCTAATAATCATAACAAGCAAAACAGGAGCAAAAAGTACTGATTTTTAAAAAACCTGAAAGTGGCCAATATCTGGAAACTAGGAAAACTTTTACTAAGGTCATGTTGATTTCATCTGATTGATCTGAAGCATATCTACCTCCCGTGTCATCTGGCGTATTATTCTGAGGACACCCTGTATAAGAAGAATTCTCGTCGTTCATTTAATAATAAATTATCAAGAGCTGCTGTCACTTAATGCTTAAAAATACTGGTAAAGTTGTCGCAGTTCGATTCAAAGACAGAAGTCTAACTTTTACGTAGACGAACTATTCTGTTACTACAATGTGGAAGCTATGCGGCCTTAAGTGTTAGCGGCAGTGGAGTGAATTTAACTTTTAAAATACCTGATCGTTCCATTCGCTGCGTGGCATGCCAAGCTCCCCGAAAACGTGCCGCTTAACATAGACAGAAGCAGAAATATATTTCGGGAAGGGTGGGAACCAAACCACAGCTCTTTAGGAAATCTGGTTCGGTTATTTATTTTTAAAGTGTGATTTCTATAAGTGTCAATACATTCGAACTACAAATACTCTTATTCCATTCGATCTATCGTTATTTCTGTTTTAGGTTTTATTCGCCTTTATAGACAGCAAGACAGCACTCAAGTACCAAAGTAGGGAAACGGGTCTAAGAAACGCAGCCTTTGATATACTGCTTCATATTATTATTTAAATATGAAAACATGCCACCAGAAATTGGGATATGCAGATTATCCCAGAAGAAGTAGCTCATTATCTCGAATGATATACAAGGTTCATCTCTCATAGATGGAGGTGTCTATATTCGCATATGCAAGCATACATGTGATTACTCCGCTATCTAGCAGACACTAACCATTTCAAATTATATATATTAAATAGAGGAACATCTGTGGCAAATTCTCATTCTATGACGATACGGTATGTCACTTTATTTTCGATAATTTTTTGGAGGCAAAATATAGCACTAGGATGTCTATCTTCAGCTAAAATGCGTTAGTCAGGGGCAAAACAAAAAATAATGTTACAAGTTCATATAAAAATGTCCTACGTAGTTCCCTTATGGTAGTACATATCCCTGATAACACTACGGATCAGTACTTCTTGAGTTTTGAACGAAACCACGTAATTCAACGAAATAAGTTGGGTCCTCCTAATATTGTCCACAGGG